CCCAAAGGTGGCAGTATCCATACTGCTTCCCAGTGGGGCTCCCAGTTCAGTATTCCCTCTCCCACAGCTCAGAGATCACAGGGTTCATGGCAATTTCCTGGCTTGACTAAAATTTTAGCTTAGGAAAAAAAAGAAATGGACTAACATTCCAAAATATGAAATTATGGCATTCTTCATCTGGCTCTCTGTCCTTACCCCAAATCTGAGAAATGCCTCACTCTCAGTTGAACAATGTTATTCTTAAGATGCCAACACTTCAATTTTTAGTGACCATGTGGTGCATTAAAACACAATGAAGTGGATAGCTAAGTGTAATTCCACTGCAAAATTATAAGGATGCTTCTTTTTCCTATCTTTCCTGTTCACGCTCCTGATCATTGTCACCACTCCTGAAGTATGGGGGAGAAGAATTGGAGGAAGAAGTTGCATTGCTGGAAACTCAAGTTGAATCTAAGAGCCATTTGTGACATGGGAAGAAGTATCTATTTTTGATCTCCCACTCACTACTTCTTCCTTACTCCCTAATAATTTGCCATCCTGGAACTCTCATACCCTCCCTCAAAGTTTTCCACAAACCTAGCCAACAACTTGTATGTACAGATCTCAGTTCTGGATAGACCCAGTCATAACAGGTGGCATCTCATATACCAAAGCAGAAACATAGTTTTCCTGGCAATTCTCTGGCTCATCCTATCTCTTCTCTTTCCTAATACCTAAATTGACACCAACATGGGAGAAAAAAATAGCAAAATGGTGATATTCTATGACTAGAATGGAATGGTGGTGGGACAGTCTGAATGGGAAGGACCGTATGCCGGGCACCATCTAAGGGGAAGGGACTGGTTTGCACAACAACATACAAAAATTTTGCCTCCGTCTCCTGATCTCTCATGGGATTTCATCCCCTGACACCATATACTCATTTCCCATTTTCAATGATCTGACTCAATTTCCCCCGTGGCAGGCCCCCTCAGACTTCTACATAACTAAAATATGTTGCAAGCCCCACTACATTAAGCTTATAAAAAACATCCTGCTCCTTTTTTTTTTAAAGGATGAAGAATTATTGCTGAGGAAAGAGAGCAGCCTTCTCCACTGCACTTGATTTAATCTACCCAAGCCTAGAGATACAGACAAGAAGGTACTTCTTATTGCACATCTGATTATTAGAATCCCTTGAATCTATCAGTCAATGAGTATTTATTAACCATGAATTATATGTCAAATATTATGCTTGGTTCTAGGCATATAAATACGAATAATGAAACAACACATCCTCTGAAGGAATTTATAGTCTATTCATGGCAACATATAAGCACATCCAAAATAAATATGTGGCAAAGAAATACAAAATAAATACAAGGTAGTTAAATACAAGGTAGGCAGCAAGGGTTGGATGCTAGAATTTGAAGATCCAAAGGCCTACATACACTTATGAGATCACAAGTTTAGAACTGGAATGGATCTTGGAGGTGATCTAATCCAACCTCTTTATTTTGTATGTAGCATTTCCCTTGGGGCTAATTCTCTCAGCCCCTTTTTCAAAGGCAATGGTTCCGCAAGAGTTCTATCGAAAGGTAATGCTGAAGGGCTGGGGGCTTCTAATGCTACAACCCACAAGCCCCTATCTCGTGTGTTTTCCCCAATAATGATCAGCCAGTGGACGTCAATTAGCTTTTACAAGACAGCATTTTCTGAGCAGGAATCACCAGGATAGAAGTTACAGCCCCCAAAGTGGGGGCACATTCCCTGCTTGCATACATAACATCCCTTGGGCGGGTTTAAAGTTAAAACACAAAGGTAGTGAGGCCTACAAGTAGGGAACATGTTAGACCAAAGGTACCTCACAATGCCTGGCTTCTTAGCAGCAGCCCCATCAAATTTGTTTTGGGTCATGGCATCATGATGGTGGAGTCAGTCCATTGCTCAGTGGGGCTGACTCCTTCTAGAATGAAGTGTCCTGGCTAACGGGTAACAAACATCACCGCTGAGCTGGGTCAAGCAGGTAGGTCGGCTGCAACACAGGCTCCTCACCAGACATGGCTGCTGCAGCACCTAGCTCTAGTGGTCCCTATGACCAACTCTGGCTGCTGAGAAGATCTCTGATGGCTCCTTGGACCTTTCAAAACTCACAAAGGCATAGCCTGTTCAGTTCTCTCTCCAAATACGCATTCACCCAGGATCAGGAAAGAATGAACACAAAAAAAACAAAGGCACCATGAATTTACCCATACTTGGAGAAAAGGTAAGAATATTAGGCAGCTACTTCCCTATCACCCACACGGTGGCTGAGAGCAGTCTTCCTCATATGGAAGCCCACAGGGAAGAATGTTGAGAGATCATTCCACTGGAAATTTTGGAGTTTACCCTCAATTCCTGTTCATCTTAGCTTTATGAGTCGTCAGTCCTTCCAGCTCCTCAGCCAATGAGATCTTTTTTTCCCCTCATCACATAGTACTATCCCTTCAGTCACTCATGGGCAAAAAATGGCTCTCCAATGTTTTATGCATTAGATTGGTTGCAGAAACGGAATATTGCACATGCTCTATATAACCCACTAGGAAGGGCAAATATGAGCATTGTCCAAAGACTGATACTTTATTGGCCAGTCTCCTATTACATGCAGATAAAAACACATGGCCAAAGACATTAAATGATAGTAAGTGGGTGAACTGGGATTCAAACCTAGGTTTTCTAAACTTCAGATTCCATACTTTTCCCCTGTACTATGCTAGGAAGGAAGGAAGGAAGGAAGGAAGGAAGGAGGAAGGAAGGAAAGAAGGGAGGAAGGAAAGAAGGAAGGAAGGAAGGGAAAGGAAGGAAGGAAGGAAGGAAGGAAGGAAGGAAGGAAGGAAGGAAGGAAGAAAGGAGGGAAGGAATGAAGGGAGGAAGGGAGGAAGGAAGGAAGGAAGGAAGGGAGGGAGGGAGGGAGGGAAGGAAGGAAGGAAGGAAGGAAGGAGGGAGGGAGGGAGGGAGGGAGGAAGGAAGGAGGAGGAAGGAAGGAGGAAGAAGGGGAGAAGAAAATGTAGTTGATGTGTAAAGGCATTGCTGGCAATCCTTTCAGCACTTCACAGCACAAACCTGTAGAGTCTTTCTGAGTGTATTGGAATTGACCAGATGTGCCTATTGGAATGAACCTTGGATCTGAAATCAGAAGATTTGTATTTGAATCTAGACTCTCTTAGTTATTTCCTCTGTAATCTTAGGCAAGCACCTTCACCTCTCTGGGTCCCAGTTTTCACACATTTATACACACATGCACACACAGATACATTTAACATATATACATATATATACACATGTGTATACAATTATACTTGTAGATCACTATGTAAATATGAGTTATTATATGCTAAAATGAGGAATTTTGCCTTGAATTAATTCTCTCTAAGGTCCCTTCTTGCAACTTGCTGATCTGTATCAAGAAGGTCCTGCTAACCCCAAACCTTTAACCTTTTTACAATCTTCGGGTTTCACTGACAGGTATGAAGTGATTAGACTTAGCAGTTGGATCTGGACAGAGAAATGGAATCAGCCACAAGTGAAACCCACTGAATCCCCCCCTTCCAAAAAATTTGGCCTCTCAGGCAGGGCTCCTGCCCTGCTCAATGTGACACTAATCCTCGGGCACCTCTCCTTTGGTAATTATAGGCATAATGAGCCCATTTCCTTGTTTCAGAGCTCAAAATAAGTGTATTGGCATTCCTTTTAGCGAGGGGACTTTGAAAGCTACAGTACAGAGATTGAGAGAAGAATGGATTTTTAAAAAAAATTAACTTTGCATTCAAAACTTTGTGTTAAAACCATCTGTTCCTATGGAGGGGGAGAGAGGCAGTGACAGATTTTCATCAGCAAGCTGTTAAATTAACCTCCTTTTGCTGCTTGCAGCTTGTTTTATTCAATCAGCCTTGATTAAGAACATAGGTTCAATTCTGCAAAAAACAAATTCCTCTGTGTCTTTAAGGAAAATCATTTTAAGGAGTCTTTTATTAGGAAGCTTTACTGGCTAACCGATACAACATGCTACCAGCGTGAATCATCCGATTCAGAGTGACAAGAAAGCAGCTTGAGAAACTCATCCAGCCAAAATATTGGCAGGCACCAGTGACTGGGGCCAGATTCCATCTCCTTTCTACAAAACGTTTTCCGTTGTGATTACAAGTCCCTTTCAGGGCTGTGTCGGTATTTTGACTCTGTCCCTGCCTGCAGGGGCCCCCAGAATCACAGAATTCTCGAAATTAGAGATGGGAAGGCCCTATCAGGTCACCTTGCGGGACCCCTTGCTCCCCTCTCCCCTGCCCCCATCACCACTAAAATTCTGCTCCCTATGGTGTATCCTCCAGTGTCCTGGCCAGTCGCGTTTTTTTTAACAACACATGTCATAAAAACATCTCCCAGACTCTGACAGCAGCAACAGCAGGGACAACATCAAGCGGATGGATTCCAGCCTAGATATGCAGCAGCTACAAGCTTAACTCTGCATCCTCAGGTAGAAAAATGTGTGGCTTTTATCCACTGCTCGGATCCCTGCACCCCCACCCCCAGTGCTATCCCGGGCCCAATTCCCAGGCTCAGGCAGCGGCTTCCTTTAGCTCAAACACAAGGGACGGCAGAACCCCATGTTAATTACTGTACGTTTCCACTGTAAAGGGTGTCAGGGAAATAGAAGAGGCAATTAATGCAACCCAGCTCTGGCATACAAAAGATTCATATATTCTGACTGGAGGCCAATCACGGACTCAGGCCCCTTGAAAAGAGCCGTGATAGAAACTTAATTCCACTCCTTTCAGTCCTGTTCAGACTGTGAAATCCACACAATCGGGCTGTTCTCTTAAAAGGGAGGGAAAAGAAGAGCTCTAATGGAGAGTTGCCCTGTTTGCTGGGCCCAAAGCTGGGAGAGTTCACTTTGGGGACAAGGACTTCACACCATGTGCAAAGCCCCAAAGTCTGTTTGGCAACAATGTTTCTCATTAGACAGGGAGGCAGCTTCCCTCTGTCCTCTCCATGCTCCCTTTGATTGGATTACATCCCTCCCTCTCTCTTGAACATCTGCTTTGTCAGGTACTGCAAAAGAAGGGGGGGGGTACGGGAGGTAGGAGGGGAGGTATTAAGGGGTAGCCAGCCAATGCTCTTCCTCCCTTTTCCCCCTTGGCCTGGTGCAACTTGCTTAAACTCTTTTGTCCCTCAATTTTCTTCTCTGTAAAATGAAATAACAGCTCTGGATGAAGAGTCTCAGAAGACCTGAGTTTTATAGTCAGCTCCCGATTAGTGCGAACAGCGAATCCTCTTAAGTGGTCACATTATTTGAATCCACACTGCATATTTCCGTTGGGCTGGGACCACATACAAATTATAACTTTGAAGAGTGAGGATTTGATTGCATGAGACCACTTGGCAGATGGGGGTGAGGGATGGGAGGTGGGATGGGAATTCATTGTTTGCGCTAATTGGGATCTAGTTGTAGTTCCAACTGGCACTAACTAGCTGTGTGACTTTGGTCAAGGCATTCAAGCTACTTATTGGGGTAAAATAAGAGGGAAACTCCAGCCATTCAGGAAAGAAATATGGAACTATATATAGCAACAGTTAGTCAATTGTGCATATCCTTTGACCCAGTGATATCTCTACCAAGCATATGCCTCAAAGAGGTCGAAGAGAGAGTGTACATGTGCAAAAATAATTATAGCAGCTTGTTTTGCAGTGTCAGAGAACTGGAAACAAAGTGGTTGTCCATCAATTGGGGAGTATCTGAACAAATGGAATATTATAAGAGATGGCCAATATGATGGATTCAGGGAAACCTGGCAAAATTCATGAGTGGATAAAAAGTGAGTACAATTTACACAAATTACCATAATAATGTGAGGGAAAACAGCTTTAAAGGACTTCAGAACTCCGATCCATGCAATGAACAGTCATGATCTTAGAAGACAATGATGAATTAGGCTTCCCACTTCCTGGGAGAGATGTGAGAGACAAGAGCTACAAAATGAGGCATACATTTTTTAGACATGGCCAATGAGTTGATTTCTTTTATTCGGCTATTTCTACTTGTTACAAAGGAAAGATTCTATTTCAGTGGGATAGCTAGGGAGTAGTGAAGATGGTACAAAAAATAAAGGAAAGAAGGAAGGAAGGAAGGAAGGAAGGAAGGAAGGAAGGAAGGAAGGAAGGAAGGAAGGAAGGAAGGAAGGAAGGAAGGAAGGGAGGGAGGGAGGGAGGGAAGAGGAGGAGGGAGGGAGGGAGGGAGGGAGGGAGGGAGAAGGAAGGAAGGAAGGAAGGAGGAGGGAGGGAGGGAGGGAGGGAGGGAGGGAGGAAGGAAGGAAGGAAGGGAAGAGGGAGGGAGGGAGGAAGAAGGAAGGAAGGAAGGAAGGAAGGAAGGAAGGAAAGAAAAGAGAAAAAGCGTCAATGAAATGTTTTAAATAGTTCTCAGAAGAAAGCAGAAGGAAATTCAGAAGGGGACAGAGACAAGTAGGGCAATATGTACACACACATAATATAAACATATATAATACATATACATACATAATATAAAATATATATATATATATATATATATATTACTCTTTGGTTACATTTAACATGCATTTTTTAAAATGACATAACAGAACCTCAGTTTCATATACAATCTCCTTTTCTGTTCTTCATACACTAAAATGTTCATGTTTGTCAAATTCATAATAAAAAAAATAAAATTAGGGAGCTGAAGAGAAGCTCTGTACGTTCGCACACAACTGAAATGCTACGATCCCTTGATCTTTTCTGCCTTTCTTCTCCTGCATGCCAAGCAACCTGAGCCCACCTTGGAGTTTCTAGGGGCTCTGGTCAGTGTTGGCCTCCTTTGAAAAGCGTGCTAAGCAACGAGCCAGCAGGATCTTAGCAGAAAGTGATACCTTCTCTCGTAACTTTGGTGGCCGCCATCTTAATTTTTCAGTACTGTTCCTCTTACGGTGACTTGGAGATAACTTCATTAATCCACCTAGTCAACATTTATTAAATAACTGCCTATTGTATCCAAAACAGGGAGTGCATGCCTACTGAATACAAGAGAACAGAGATGAAGGCATGTCCATTAATTGTGCCTGATCTTCAGCCAGTCTCCAGTAATTGAGAGACTTTCTTGTGTAGTGTCCAGATGGATGCTCCTTAGAACTTTATTTATTTAGGGGATGGGGGTTAAGTGACTTGCCCAGGGTCACACAACTAGTAAGTGTCAAGCGTTAGGTCTGAGGCAGGATTTGAACTCAGGTCCTCCGGACTCCAGGGCCGGTGCTCTATCCGCTGCACCATCTAGCTGCCCTGCTCCTTAGAACTCTAAAGGGATCTCAGCTTGGTGCTACCGTCCAAAGCATCAACTTTCAGATATCTAAGCTCAGCTAAGGTGTCCAGTGGATTTGATACCAGGTATCGTAGAATCATATAATTTTGGAATTTCAGAGCTCAAAGGGACTTTAAAGAGCAGCAGGTCTGCACCATGAGTAACTAGGAATTGCTTTAACAGCACTCCTAACAAAGTATCATCCAAACTCTGTTTGAAGACAACCAGGCACAGGGAGCTCATTACCTCTTCAAGGCAGTCCGTTCCACTTTGGGATTGCATTAATTGTTGCACAATTTTTCTTCAGGGGCAGCTAGGTGGCACAGTGGATAGAGCACTGGCCCTGAAGTCAGGAGGACCTGAGTTGAAATCTGGCCTCAGACCAAACACTTGACATTTACTAGCTGTGTGACCCTGGGCAAGTCACTTAACCCCAATCGCCTAAAAAAAAGTTTTTCCTTATATCAAACCAAAATCTGCTTTTCTGCATCTTCCACCCATTGTGAAGATGTGAGCTGAAAGGGATATTAATGATAAGCTTGTGCAACTTTTTAATTTTAGACTGGAAGAAACTGAGGCCCAGAGATGTGACATGACTACACAAGGACACTGTTGAGCAGGGGTTTGGCATGGTTGAATTCTTTCCTTTTTCCCTTTGCCTCCCAACATGTTTCCATATACATACGTATGCATTCAACTATTCACCTTCAACCCTGAAATCTCTATAGACTAAGACATGGCTCCAAATTCTGGGGGACTACACGCGGAATAAAACACGCTTTCAGATACTTCTTGATTTTATGTAATTGGCCAGAAACAATGACATTTTGTTTTGGTCTCTGCTTTTTATAAAACTCAGAAAATGGAAAGGCATGATTAATAATTTTAATATAAAATAAAACATTACTAATATCATCTTGTAATGTATTGTTATTATTGTAGGTCTACTGTGTTCCCCTACAGATCATTTTATGTTTTTCTTATGGTCATGGCTTGCCGTGGCCAAAGAATTCATCACCCAATGGCTACTCTTCTGGTAATCATTTTTCAGGATTCGCCTTGACTAGTTCTTTGGCGTGGAGAAACTTCTGTTTCGATGATTTGCCTAACAAATGTCATCAGGTCAAAGTTGTCGGTTGGTCTGTAACATAGAGGATGTCCTGGGTCAAAATGGATAAGAGATTCATTCATTCATTCAACAAGGACTCATTTATTAAGGACTTATGTGCCAGGTACTATGCTAGTTGTTGGGATCCCCTTCATGTGGACCTCACTTGTTCATCAATGATATTAGCCTGATTGCACCAGACCCTAGACTACTAAAGGCTTCTCTCAACACTCAAAAGAGAGTGCCCCAATAGTACTTCTAGAAAAAAAAAAAGGGTAAAGACTTGTCCCAACCAGGGTATCTAACCATTCCAGGCCTGGGTGACCCATGAAGTCAACTTTAAACATTTTTCCCTCTTTTTATTATTTTGAACTTGAAAAATGTCAAAAAACTTGAGCCTTTCCATGTATGAAGCTTAGGACAGAAAAAGAGCTCTTGCATATGAAACTGTCAAACTTTATCATATACACCTTTTTTTTTTTGGTGAGGAGAGGAGTGCTATATTTCAAATTGAATGTGGTAGCTACAACACTATTGGTGTCCCTTTCTGAACTTTGCCTCACCTTTATTTTTTAATGTTTCATTGACATTCTTTTCTTTTTCTTTTTGCATCATTATCGCTACCCACCAATCCCTCTCCCCAAATCCTATCTGCCTCCCACTCCCCAAATAGAAGCCTTCCTTTGTAACAAATAGTTATAGTAAACCAAAATAAAATTAATCTCCATAGTGACCCTGTCTGAAAATGTGTCCCATCCCTAGGAAGCATTCTCCATCACCAGTCTTCTGGAATGCTGGTTGTTCATTGTGTTGATCAGCATTCTGAGGCTTTTCACCACTGTTTTCATGAAATACACATTTGGCAACCCATCTTTGTTCCATGCTTCCATATGTCTCTTACTCATGGGGACCCTCTTTCCCATATCCTGGAATTGTTTCTTTCTTGCATTTGTATCCCACATCTGGTTCAGATGAGGTTGGTTGTCATGACTACCTTCCCTGTATATGCCTTATTCTTTGTTTGGCTTGTTTGGAATATATCTGCAAGAACACATACTCACTGGAGAAACCTCACTGGAGAATTCAGCACTGTTTGCTTATGACCAGAACTCTCAAGGATGCTTTGCTTAGGTTTGGATTGTTTTGTACTACTAAAGGTTGAATGATTGAGAATTGGTAACTTTTGTTGACTCAAAGCTAATAGAATAGAACAAACTTGCACATTCAGCCAGAACCTATGCCACCTTGCCATAGACGTGGCTTCTTGGGCTTGGTATTAGAGACAGATAATAATCCCTGCTAATGGTAGATTTTGTATGGAGCAACATACCAGTTGTCTTGACTTCTGTCTTGCCCCTGGACTTTGATGATTCTGGAGGAGAGAGGGAGGTTGACAACTTTGTTCTGCCTCATTGAAATCTCATTTATATACAAATCAAGACATTCCCCTCATGATATTGTGGCTCCTCTTCCTGGACAAAGGACCACCACCACAAGCAACAATGAAACAACACTGTTGAGCGCTATATCCCTTTTGAGAGTTACAACACTGCCAAGAGCACCCACTGCTGAGGTAGGCTAAAGCAAGCATTTTGCCACTGCATGAGTGGCTGCTGTTTTCAATCATCAGAAGCCAACATTATGCCACAAGGCACTGTAATGTTCTTTAGAATCTGGAAGCTTGGAAATACTTCTGGTGAAATACCCATGTGTCTGTTGAGTATCCTTGCCAACTTCCTAGTAAACAGCTTTGATCAACTCAGGGGTGACTGCAAACTCCTTTCTTGGTTCAAACTCAGATTTAAGTAAAAATTGCATTAGACTGACATGCTTAGTACTTTAGTGGCTTGCTTAAACTAGACACTTAGTGAGCTGTCCATGGAATTAGTCCATGGCCACACCCGCCACACTACGCACTGTTGATAGACAAGGAGTGGCCCCAGGATTGAATAGGAGGAAGAGAACACTACGGAGTATGTCTATGAAGTTACATGGTGCTCTCAGTCACTCCAAGTCTATCAATTATTCCAAGTTGCTCTTCTACAAAACAAACAAACAAACAAACCCCCCCTCTCTTTTTTTCTAATTACCATTATTCTTACATTGATGCTGTATGTATTTGAATTGTGGAAGGCCACAACCTCCAAAATACCAAAATTCCAGGTGACCTAGGAGGCATTGGAGAGATGCATGGTAGGCATGAGGGTGGGCTATAGGGTTTTTTTAAAAATTTTTTTCTTAAGAGGGGAAACCTAATCTGTGAATTTATGGGTATAAGAAGTTCTTAGTGAGGAGCTTCCCTTTACCAAGGCAGATATACATATTTTCTGAAACTGGGGGGCATTAAGAGGTTAAGTGACTTTCCCAGAAACACACAGCCAGTATGTATCAGAGGAAGAGTTTGAACCTAGTCTTCCCAACTACAAGGCCAGCTCTCTATCCGTTATACCATATTGTCTCTCATGAATGAAAAATTACAAAGAAGAAATATAATAATTAGAAAAGCAGATGGACTGATCTTGCAGTGAGAGCTAAAGATGGTGGATGGACAGATTAGTAACTGTGCTTGCCTTCAAAGGATGTTAAAAGAAGGCATAGGAAGCTAGCCAGAATGTAATGATTTCTAGTATTCACCCATTCTCCAATATTGAAGAGTCCAGATGGATGTTCTTTAAAATTTACAAGGGATCCCAGCTTGGTACCAACCCAATAATGCAGGCATGGGGGAAGTGAGGTGGCACAGTGGATAGAGCACCAGCCCTGGAGTCAGGAGGACCTGAGTTCAAATCTGGCCTAAGACACATAACACTCACTAACTGTGTGATCGTGGGCAAGTCACTTAACCCCATTGCCCAGCTTAAAAAAAATAATGAAGGCATTGTCACAGTCACAGTCTGTACTTTTAGAGATAGTACCCATATCCAAAAGACCACAGATCCATTGAAGATGAAATACTATATTTTATACCATATATGGGTCCCTGACATTAACTGTATTTTAAAAAAAGTTTACATTGAACCATGTTTTAAATTTATTGGCTATTTAGAAGAACCTACAATAAAGTCTTATATAAAAGAAAGCTTATGTTTGTAAAGTCTCATCACCCCCTAATTTATCTATCTTGTAAATTTCGATTTTTGTGTACTACGTTGGATTTGCCCAAAACGGCTGTAGCCATGCTGTTGCCTTTAGTGTTGATATTATTGTTATGGGAGCACCTCTGAAAGCACACAACAGTGGGAAACTGTTAATCCAGTGGGGGGGCAGTTCAAAAAGAAGTCTTAAGAGTGACACCAAGAGCCACAGGCGCAGCTCCCAGCTCTGATACTTGGTAGCTTTGGAATCGTTTAATCTTTAAGAGTCTCCGTTTTCTCGTGTATGAAAAGGGACAACAATAACCATAGCTAACATTCATACAGAACTTTAAGGATTTCAAAGCACTTACTTATTCCTCACGCCAACTTTGTGAAAATGCTATATTATTACCTGCAACTGACAGGTGAGCAAAAGAAGGTTGATGCAGGACTTGTTCAGGGTGGAATTGGAACCCAGATCATTCTTCCTCCAAGTTCGGTATTCCAGATCTGCTAATCCATGCTGTTTCACCTGCCCTAGGGGACTGTAACAAGGTTGTTACAAGGAAAATACTTTGTAAACTATGTAGCCAAAAAGGAATTCTCACTATCCTTATTAGGGAATACTGATGGTAGATAACAAAGAATTGACCAGACTCAAATACTCCCAAGATACACAAAGATAGAAGGCAATTAGCAGAAGGGAGTGGCAGGAATTGTATAGGAAAGCTGATAAAGATCATTCCAGCTCATAGACTGTTTTTTAAAGTGGGATCTGTGGTGTCATTGTTGAAGAGAATTCTCCTGTGAGCGAACTATCACTAAAGATATGAAACTCTGCTACAATGTATAGTCTTAAAGTCCCTTGGAGTACTGAGAGATTAAGGGACTTCCAGAGTCACAGGCTCATTGGCTTTGCAATACAATCATTTGCATATTTGTCCTATTGAAAGGCTATGTAGATTAGCTCATTTTGACCTCAGAAAGGAGCTACAAACACTATTGCCATGCTTAGGAGGGAAAGATAACTCTGTTTCCCTACTTGTACTATTGATGGACTCACTCAGAAGCTCCCTGAATTTGTATCTTATTTCTGACACTCAGTAGTTTTGTGACCCTGGACCAGTACCTTAACCTTTCTGTGTCTCAATTCCCTTATCTCTGACATGGGAATAATCATGCTTTTAGTACATAACTCATGGGATTGTTGTGTGAATCAACCAAGTTAAGGTACGTAAAAGAGTTTGTGAAACTTAAGAAGCCATTTAAAAGCCAACCAAATTTCTGACGATTACAATCAAACTCAATCAAATTCAACCAGCTTTTATTAATTTACTACCTGAGAAAAGAGAACTTTGTACTCATGTTGGGAGTTTTCACAGGACCCATTTTCTTCTCACTGAGTGTTATTGTATACTTAGATAACAGTATCACACAATGGTGCTTGATAAGTGTACTAGAGAGGCACCAAACACTGGAGTCTAAAGGGACAACACTGACAGATGAGTTTGTCAGCATGGCATCTTCTGACCATGGCAAGAAACAGTACCATCAATCCCACGAGGCTGCTGACTCCAGAGCTGCTCATAAA